GTTCTCTAAAGCCCAGTGGTCAGGAGACTGTGAGCCTTTGCTGTTTGTAAATAAAGTTTTATTGGACACAGCCATGCTCCTCTTTCCTGCCACTGTCAGTGCCACTCAAGAGAGTTACACAAACAGTCACCTTAGTGAACAGACAGCCTCTCAGCTTGATGTCTATTCTCTTAAGCCCTTCATAGAAAAAGTTTTCTGGCTCTTGTTCTACTGGCTTTGGTGACTTTGGGTATGAGAATCACTCAGATGAATCATGAGGCCTTTTCTGTAAGAAGTTAGGAGACAGCAGTTGAGGGCAGGCTTTGTGAGAAGAGCCTGAGAAGAAGAGCAAGGAGAGGGACAAGGACATCTTCAAGAGACAGAAGGAGAGGACTCGCAAGCCTCCAGGGTCAGCCCGAGGGAGACCTCCACTTTTATGGGATGGGGGCACTGGCCACTTTCCAGGGTCAAAACTTCCTCCTCTAGCTTCCCCCCACTTTCCCAGCAAAAGAGCTTGTAAAACATCCTCCCCACACCCCAACATGTCACGCCTTCCAGCCGCTGCAGAGATCAACTGTATTTTGCTGTTTTTACCCAATATGAGAACTTACTGCCCACTGTGTGTGGGTGGGTGGGGGAGCTATGCTGGAAGCAAAGGTGGACCTTGGGCTGCAGGACACGGTTTACTTTGTAACTGCAAAACCATAAACTTTCCAGCCAAGGCCTGAGCCTCTCTCCTAGGGTAACTGAGGTGCCTGGGGTTGCAAGCATGGGTAACTCATTAACACTGCCGTCAAGACCATAAAGCTGCTGGAGACCTGGACTGCCATCCCTGGGTCCATGGAGCGGGGAGGGTGCAGAGCTGGGGTCCTGCTCCTGTTCCCCAGAAGGCCGCCCAGGAGCCCTTTTCTGCATTTCTGGAAACTGTGGTTTGCATAGATTGCCTTGAACCCTTCCGTGGGCCTGTGATATAGGGACTGCCACTCCTTTTACCTATGAGCCCGTGGTGGAGGTGAGGGTCAGTCCATCCATATGGTGTGTGGATCAAATGGGTCTGGGAAGGAAGGGACTGATAAAAAGCACGTCTGCTGGGAAGTGGGCAAAGTTAGCGGGAGCCCCACAGCCCCACTCTTACCTGCTTGAAGTCTGAACACCTGAGATTTAATAAAGCACAGAGCACAGCAAGAGCATCACTGTTTTTCTTTGGAAAAACAAACCAACCTTTACTTCTTGGTGGCTAAAATCAGCTTAGAGTCACTCTCCTCTTTACGGCCTCAGATTTTTATTTATTTATT